CCATGGCACCTCAGTATCTTCTAATGAGAATAATTACCTGACTCGTGCAATGATTACAAATAATTAATGTAACAAAGCATGCAGAGTTGGATCTAATCAAGATGTGCACTGTGACACAGAAACAGCATGTGTCAATTTGTGTCCTAATGGCAGTCTGTGGAATGTGAGTACTTATTGATCAAACAAACCTCTTTATTGATTGGTTTTTAAGGGTTTGGACGTTTATTGTAGATTTCACATGCAGGGATTCAAATAGAGTGCCTGCTGAAGTACATTTAAAAACCTTATTTTACAAAAATCTGTAGATGAGCTTCTTGTGAGGTGTAAGTTTTTATTTTATTTTTTTATTTTCTTAGACATGCCGATTATGTCTTAGAGCAGATGCAGCAAAATGGGATAATCAAGGGTTTGGGGGTGCCATCAAGCTAAGTGGAAACATCAGATTTGTAACAGCTACATTGTGTGTGTTGTTGGAATGAGTCCTACTACACATGAAGGAGCAATATTCAGTAAAGTGTCTGGCTGAGTTTCCCTCTTTCATTTCTCTGATAATATCCTGATAAGACAAATGCACTAATTCGGCCTGTCAGTGAAAGGACTTAGTTTAATTAAAGTCTGAACAGCTTCTGGTAGCAAAAGAATTGTTCTCAGCCTATTGTTGTCAAATTGAGGCACGTGACATGCAGAAATAAAATCTCAATAAAGATCCGCACTGCAGAGTGTTAATGAAGTATGAGATCATTCTGTTCTATGTATCATTAAATAGCTGTTTAGCTCAGTTTATTTCATAATTTTTTAACAGTCATTGAAAACACTCACAGTAACATTCAATCTCTGCTAAAGCACGTGTCACAAGCATCTAATTTCTGCAAAGAAAAGGTGCCGTTTGATGTTCTCCAGTAAAGCCGTGCTGTCAAAACAGCCTAAGATCGAGCGGTAATTCTGATGTTCTAAGTGTGCTTATCGCTGCAGGTTTCCCTTTGTTCTGTCATTCAAACTCCTTTTCTATTCAAATTGCTGTGCAATCCCATTTCTAGGACCTCCGTTATTAGTGCTTGCCTTTTTGAGCGACTTAAACTTGCTGATAGTGCAGCAGAAATCGACTGGCCAAACAACTCTGTGACACATTGATCTGGAGCACTGAGTATAGTGAGGCAAATTAAAACCAGCTAAAAACAACACTTTGTCACCGATCATCGCTCAAAGTTGAGTGGGGAGTTCACATTGCAACTAAGCTTGGTGGTTCCTGAACTCGGTTTAAGAGCGAGGTCTTGCTTATTCAGAATGTCCAAATGAATTTAGGAGTCCAGCTGCTGCGGAGCTGAGGTAGTCAATCTGTGGGTTGTATCTAGGCTTCAGCTCTCCCCTGACAGTCTCCTCCCACCTTTACTATTCAGGAGTGTCTCATATATCACTGCAACAAATAGGGCATGCGTTTGGCAGGTAAAAAATAAGGATGGATTAGTTGATTCTGCACATAATATATGAATTGACTATTATGACACAGCTTGTTGCACGCTTGGAAAAAAGTCAATTAAAAATTTCCCTTACCTTTATTGTAATTGCGCTACTGCGCAATGCAGAGTATTTATCTCAACAGTTTTACTTTTGTTTTTGTATATTTGCGTATTTATACATTTTGGGTTGTAATTGCAGCCTTGAGCATTTCAAGAAGTACATGTTTTTAGAAGGTCCTAAGTAAAGACTGCTGTTGCAGCATATTAGTTGTGTAGCACAAACTGCCAGCAGCTAGCAGGTTTCTTGGTTAAAGCTTTTTTTTTTTTCCAATCGTGAAATAAATTAAACACATTCCTGTGCAAAATGGAACGGTGCTGAGCAAACATAGTATATAGGCCTTAGCTAATAACTGACTGCAGTGGTGCTATCCTCCAGCTCATTGTGTAACACACAGGATATTATAACGATATGCAGGATTAGATGTAACTAGAGCAAGGATTAGAAATTTAAACCAAGCTATTATTAGTGTTTTTACAATTTAGATGAAGTAATTAAAATAACCTAAATACAAAATCTGAAGATGAGTGTTGTGCCAATTTTCTTCTTTTTTAGTTCTTTTGCATATTCGTCTGTGCACAGTTTCTGATGGATTTATAAAAGCATCAGTTTCAAACTGTGAAAGGTAAACTGAGTAAACACAGCCTACAGTAAGAGGCCAGTGTTACAACAGTCCTCGGATCTAAGCATGAATACTATTCATGGCCTCCTGTGTTGACTAAAAGCCAACATTTGATTCAAATTGCACAATGCACTGTTTCCAATTTAGGACTAACAATGACTTTGAAATACAGCTGAGTTCAGGGAAAGGCAAACGTCTTTCAGCGTGATCAGACAAAAGGATTTAATTAGCACATGGGTTCCATGCGGAGATGGCAGTGTTTTGGTTGTTCGTTGCACAATTGCCAAGAGTGCCTTATCCTATTCACTTGTCATTAATGAGTTCTTTTTTTGCCTTGTGCCTGTAAAGCAGAAAGCACCGCAACGTACAACAGCAACCTTTTTTTTTGTTTGTTTTACTGTACATGACATAAAGAAGTTGTTCACGATATCTACACCACCTTTGGGAAGTTTCTACTTCAGCTGTGCCTGTCAGAAAAGGAGAAACTACTTGTCATTTCCTGATGACTTAGTGTACAATATACCCCATCACATAGGGTACATGACACTATACATGGACCTGCACTTGTTTTTCTCGAGTTTGAATTATGAATGACAAAAGAAAAACCATGAGAAGAAATATTATTAAATATACATGTAAATGAAAGGAAAAAAGCATTCCATAAAAAGATATATCACAACAGCAACTTTTCTCTCAGGTGTACCAGTCATTGAATGGTGTTCAACATGTCACAATCCCTGGCAGTCAAACTGCGCACTCCCAATCACAGAGCATGAGCTGCTAACACGGCATAGCAAAGAGGTTGATTAATCGATGCTTTGAATGCCAGAGAAAAGCCTTCCTGTCTCCAACTGCTTCAATCTGTTTGTGCACAGAGATGGTCTTAGATATAGGAGCTTTTGTTTGTTGAAGCACCTGCTCCCAAGTGCCAAACGCATCATGCAGAGCTGCCTCTGGCTTCCCACCAAGGCATTTGTCCACAGTGTGCAGCAATCGCAGTGATCTGCCAAGTGATTAATTGCCTAATAATTGTTGAGGCCACTCTGCATTGCTCTGTGCTGCTGCTTTTCTGCACCGCTTTCTGTAAAGTCAACATTATTTGAATGCTCGTTATAAAAGATGCAAAGGTTTTAACATTAAAGATACAAACAGTGATAAAAGCAAGACGGAACAGAACAGTGGGTGATATAAATAAGAGATGGGTTACACATACTGCAACAAACAGCATTTCTGTCAAGATAAAGGCTTCACTCTTCTCTGGAAATTGTTTCTCGTTGTTAGTGACTCATTGTTGAGAAGATCTGCAAGAGTTAGCGCTATTTGAATTTTTAAAAAGTTCACATAAGATTGTAAAGTGAGTGCAGTGGAAAAGGTTCAGTTTTAATACTTTGTACAACAAACTGAGCCCTTTTTTAGACTAAAAATGATGTCAAGTTGTACGCAGCAACAAACCAAGTTTAAAACTTTTAGATTACTTTTCTTGTAATCTAATGCCTGTCCCACCTATTGCAGATAGACACCAGCTCCCTGGTGATCCAGTAAGGAAAAAGCTGGTAAAGAAACTGGATGAATGGATGGATGTATTTTACCTAATACACTTATTCACAGCAGGTCTCTGCCTGTCAATCTAGCCACTCTCCATTGGGTCTCTCCCTGCAGGCTTTAATAGAGCCCTGATACTAACTGACACTCATTGTTGGGTTGAGGACAGTTTCCAGATCATTATATTACTTTAAGTCAAGCATATCCTTCAGCGAACTGATTACACTGCCTATCAAAGTGGTTACTGTATCGGGGCAATCTTTGTACCTTGTAATGCCCATTTTTTTTAATGTAGAAGACAGAAGAGCATGGCTGACCTTGCATTGTCCCTTTTTGGTTAGTTAGTTTCAGCTTTAGGTTGATCTTCTCTATTTCCCTGAAGGAAAATACGTGAACTCTAAATGTAGTGATTTTTACATGCATGAAATTGAGTCATTTTGCCATTTAAAGAAAGAATAAAATGACACTAGTTAAAAAAAAAAGGTATTTTCTTTTTCTTATTGCCTAAATGTTACTGAGGTGATTTGTTATCTACTATGTCTACTAAGATTTATTGTAAAATTATACATATTCCAAGAATAAATACAGTACAACCTCCACACCATAAATCAATAGCAAGAGAAAACGATGCACAATGGTGCATTTATCCCTTACTTGAATAATCAGGGTCTCCTCGTTCCCTCAATGGTTTCATTTGGATGGGATTAAGTGTCATGTTTCTCACAGGCCTGAGAGATTTAATAGGAGAGATTGCTCAACTGTGATGCCGGAACAAAATCAGACGATGACCAGACTGGGATTACACTCATGGATGTGGAAGGCCGATGTCAGGAGCAACCCAAGTCCTGCTTCTTTTTATATGCAAATATAATCTATGCAGGAAAAGCCCTTTGACTTCAGGCATGGAAAATGCAGAAAGCAGGCAAAGGCACTCAATAACTTGGAAGAATTTCTGAAATACGAATGCGAACAGCGATTGATGTGCTACAATGATGTGTGTGTTTGTGAGTGAGTTTGAACCCTTTTGCTTCTATCCCAATCTCCATCTGAACATCTATGAATTATTAACCCTAACCCTAACCCTAACCCTTGCATTTGACAAATTCATTCAACCTTTATTTATACAAATAAACACAACTTGAACTTAGCAACAAAAAAACTAAACCAAATACTTGGTTCTAAATGCTCTAATAATCACTAAACATTTGAGTCAATGGCTTGTCAATTTTTAAATTAAAGTATCTGATTCTTTTGTCTGTGCACAACCATAACAGAGTGATTTAGACTCTCTAATGTTCTACTTCCTGTGTTTCATTTGCAGTGTTGAGCTAGACTTTAAACAGCAGGAGGATAAGCTGCAGCCCCTGATGAAGAGACTTTGCCCCATGGACAGCAAACAATGCCCTGCACTGCCTTATGCCAATGAAATCTTCACATCCACCCCAAAACGCAAGTCAAAGACGGAGTCCAAGAAGCATGCACGCTGGAAACTCTGGTTCCTATGAATGAAACACGAAGGCTTTGAAAACAGCCATTTTATTGGGTGCATTACTAACCAGATCACTGAAGAAATGTGCAGATGGGGATGATCAACCCATGCAAATGGAAGCTGTCTGAAGCCATTTGATTTAGCTGAGACTGTCAGGTCAGCTGGGGGACATCAGAGACAAAACATTTTACATTCAGTCTATTCTTTTTTCTGGCATGTTTGTTGGATGGGATCTACATTTTCAACAAGGTGAGCTGTGGTGAGCATTGTTGTGCTTTAACTTGTTTCCTAGCCAGAGTAAAGATAGACTTTTTATGTTCTGATAAACTTTGTATTTAAATATTTCTTGTGCATTTTCCAGTGAATGCAATGCACTTTTGGTTTTTTGTCCTTAGAGTATACTGCTTGGCAACAAGAGGAGGCGCCATGTGGAGGGTCTCATATGAAGGAAGCTATAATATTTGAATGGACATCAGCCACCCCCCAAATAAAGCACAAAACAATTAAGTATTGAAACGTGCAAAAGACTAAGACACAGTATGTGACAGTATGTATGGACTTTTCTTGTAACACTGTACTTTCTCCTTTTCTTATTTGTTACCATGCAACACTTTCCCCCTGAGTGACTGAACGTCCACTTGCCTTTGCTGATATTTGGTCTCCATGTCTTTTCAAATCTGTCCCTTTATCTCTCTGCCCCATTTTTATACCTCACTGTGCAGCCAGCCAGCCATGAAATGGCTGTTTTCTGTTCTTAATCTGGCAAAATATTAAAAATATATATATTTTAGAATAAATTAATCTTTTTAGCAAAGTACTGTGAAATAAAACTTTATGAAATAAATATTGTGACTCTTATAGCAGGTACAATATTTAAAGGTATAAAAAAATTCTAGCTTAAATTGTATTTTTATCAGCAGGCGGATAATGTTTTGACTACTTATACTGCATTTTTTATGAAAAAAAATAATGTTTTATTTTGAATTTCAGACAAATTGTAAAGGGTGTTTTGACATTTATTGCATTTCTGTCTCTTTAACACTCATGTTGCTTTTGGTCGAAATGACCCATAAACCTCAGTTTTAAAACTGAATTTATGGGTCACTTTGACCCAAGGATAGCAGAATGGTTAAGGAACTGCAGCAAGATAAAGTAGCAAATCTGAATCACTTGTTCAGTTTATATTTTAAAAGTTGGTTTGCACTCCAAATTTCCTTCACTATTTGGCCGCTACCTAATTTATTTGTATTGTTTTTTCTAAAACACCAAAATTATGTGTGTCAACCAACTTTGCACTGAACTTGCAGCAGGAGCAGAAGGGCTATATACAGAGCTAGAGGGATCTGAAAGTAATCCCTCAGCAGAAAACATGTATATGCCAGCTTTGGTCATGTACACAAAAGTAAAGAGATGCAACCCTGATAAAGTACTAGTGACACAGAGCTTGTAACTTAGCAGGTGATAATTTGATTCCATTTATTATTTATTTGTTGCTTTTGAGTATAATACTTTAAAAGTACAAAAAATGTCAGAAAGACATGCTGGCCTCCCATGACTGAATTACACAACAGATGATGAAGCCACTAATATCCATGCAAGAGCCGTACCTTAAGAAAGTGCAATTTAGTAATAATGTGCAATATTATGTATTTTTCTACTGTTTTTACATCACAATTAAAGCATTTTCAAATGAATATGTTCCAGTTTGCTCCTATGTCTACTAAAATCAAAATGCAAAAGAGTTTCTAAGTGCAAGAAAGTGTTTTGAGATGGAAATCCCTAAAATACCCTTTTTTTTTTCATCTGAAACCATCAGGGATTTTTTGTATACCAAACCAACACCACTCTTCAAGACCCAGCTTCTGTTTACAGCTATTCACCTACAGGTGCTGGTCATAAAATTAGAATATCATGAAAAGTTGATTTATTTAAATAATTCCATCCAAAAAGTGAAACTTGTATATTATATTATATTCATTCATTACACACATACTGGTATATTTCAAATGTTTATCTCTTTTAATACTGATGTTTATAACTGACAGCTAATGAAAACCCCAAATTCATTATCTCAGAAAATTAGAGTATTGTGAAAAGGTTCAATATTGAAGACACCTGGTGCCACACTCTAATCAGCTAATTAACTCAAAATACTTGCAAAGGCCTTTAAATGGTCTCTGTCTAGTTCTGTAGGCTACACAATCATGGGGAAGACTGCTGACTTGACAGTTGTCCAAAAGACGACCATTGACACCTTGCACAAGGGTGGCAAGACACACAAGGTCATTGCTAAAGAGGCTGGCTGTTCACAGAGCTCTGTGTCCAAGCACATTAATAGAGAAGTGAAGGATAAGATGTGGTAGAAAAAAGTATACAAGCAATAGGGATAATGGCACCCTGGAGAGGATTGTGAAACAAAACCCATTCCAAAATGTGGGAGAGATTCACAAAGAGTGGACTGCAGCTGGAGTCAGTGCTTCAAGAACCATCACACACAGACATATGCAAGACAAGGGGTTCAGCTGTCACATTCCTTGTGTCAAGCCACTCTTTTAACAAGAGACATCGTCAGAAGCATCTCACCTGGGACTGGTGCTGAATGGTCCAAAGTTATGTTCTCTGATGAAATTACATTTTGCTTTTCTTTTGGAAATCAAGGTCCCAGAGTCTGGAAGAAAAGACAGGAGGCACAGAATCCATGTTGCTTGAGGTCCAGTGTCAGGTTTCCACAGTCAGTGATGGTTTGGGGGGACATGTCATCTACTGGTGTTGGTCCACTGTGTTTTCTGAGGTCCAAGGTCAACACAACTGTCTACCAGGAAGTTTTAGAGCACTTCATGCTTCCTGCTGCTGATCAACTTCATGGAGATGCAGATTTCATTTTCCAACAGGAATTGGCACCTGCACACAGTGTCAAAGCTACCAGTACCTGGTTTAAGGACCATGGTATCCCTGTTCGTAATTGGCCAGTAAACTCGCCTGACCTTAACCCCGTAGAAAATCTATGGAGTATTGTGAAGAGGAAGATGCGATACACCAGATCCAACAATTCAGAAGAGCTGAAGGCCACTATCAGAGCAACCTGAGCTCTCATAACACCTGAGCAGTGACACACACTGATCTACTCCATGCCACGCTGCATTGCTGCAGTAATCCAGGCAAAAGAACCCCCCAACTATTGAGTGCTGTACATGTTCATACTTTTCATGCTCATACTTTTCATGTTCATACTTTTCATGTTCATACTGTTCATGTTCATACTTTTCATGTTCATACTTTTCAGTTGGCCAACATTTCTAAAAATCCTTTTTTTAAAAATTGATTCTAATAATATTTTAATTTTCTGAGATACTGAATTTGGAGTTTTCATTAGTTGTCAGTTATAATCATTAACACTAAAATAAATAAACATTTGAAATGTATCAGTCTGTGTGTAATGAATGAATATAATATACAAGTTTCACATTTTGAATGGAATTTCTGAAATAAATCAACTTTTTCATGATATTCTAATTTTATGACCAGCACCTGAATATTGGACAAATAAAAAAATGCTTCTTCAAAGAAAGTAATTATTCAGTTCTGGATAAAATAAACTGGTGGATTAAATGAACATTTAATCCTTTTACACGTATAATTTTTATCCATCCATCCGTTCATTTACTACTCCTGCTTGATCCAGAACAGAGAGCTAGAGCCTGACTTAGCAGGCAACAGGCCTAAGGCAGGGTGGACCTTGAACGAGTTGTCAGTCCATCACAGAGCCACATAGACTAACAGCCATGCATGCACACACTCACACCTAGGGACATTTTCAATTTGCTAAGTAAACTAACATGCACTGTTTACTACATCCATCCATTCATCAATCCATTTTCTTTACCCAGTAAGAGACCGGGTACACACTGGATAGGTCCCAACTCATCACAGGGCCACAAAAATATCAATGGAAAAAAACAGAAAATATTCAAATTCTCTCACTCACACCTAGGAACAATTTAGAGTTACCAGTTAGCATACATGCATGTTTTTGGTCTATTAGAGGAAACCAAAGTACCTGAAGAAACCTTGAGCACACACAAGATATTGCAAAATTTATACAGAAAAGACCAGTAACTTATACAAACCCATGATCTGCAATACAACAGTATACAGTATACAATGTGCATCTTCACACACAATCTACTCTTATTTAATCCAATTAAATCTAGCTTTATTTGTAAAGCACTTTAAAACACTACGGGGACCAAAGTGCTGTATATTTAAAACAGCTAACACAAAACGAAAATACAATTAAAACATGAGTAAATTAAAATAAAAAAAATTCATTGATAATGCAGCTCAAACAATTCAAATAAATCTAATATAGTTTGTTTTGTGGCACATGTTTCACATGGACCACTGTTGGTTGTGGATCAGTCAGCTCAGTTCTCACTGTAACCATTGAATTCTGTTTAAATACAAATGTGGCGGCAATGTAAATGTAAATGACAATGTAAAAGATTATGGAAATCCACTTTGCAAATGGCCCTACTCTGATAAGCAGCTACCTCAACTCCTTTGAGAGAACTTCTGCCTGACATTACTAGCATATAATGCTCTGAGCCCTGTCTACTACATGTAAGATACTGATTGATACAAACTTCACAGAACACCTTCTCAAAGAATCCAAACTGTTCTACCAAGTAAAACTGAGCTCTGTTGCATTCCCATGTTGTCACTTATTGGCAATGTAGCACATTATATTGCTTTACAATCAAAGTATGTTCTCTTCAGTATGCTGGGTTGAAATTAGGGAGTGTATTCCAATGCAGTTTTATTGTCTCTAAATCAATATTGTTGATAAATCACAAAAATAAAGTGTCTCACTCAGGACTCAAAAGGTTCTAAAACCAAAGTCTGAAGACCAAACTAATGAAAGAAATCAGTTTGTCTAGGAGCTGGTTGCCTCAAGGACAAAAGCCATGTGACTTATCATGACCACCTGTCCCACTGCGACAGAACAGGTTCGTTTACATGACAGCGTTTGCTCCATGTGTCACATATTGCCATGGAGGGTGCATCACAGGACTGGCACCAGAGGACACTTTGTGCATATATTAGATGCTACTTACGTTGACAAAATGTCAGCATTTGACCTCCTGATAAGGTAAAGGAAACACTGCAGGTGTCAACTCATTTCCCTAAACATACTATAATGTTGGTTATTTTTGTGAAAAGAAGAAGAAATGTTATTGTGATTTAAATTGTCTGCGCCACTCTTGACAGAAGCAAATAATGCTGCTGATAAAAAGTAAATATTTATTTATATTAATTCCACTAAAATTAAAAAAGGGAATGATTCAAAAGATGAGATGCAAAAAGTGAATGTAGTGCATGCCACATTTTCAGTTTGTGCTTTAGTGAAGCAGAGATGGGCTATGACGGGGACTCAGCAGCTGCACTCTTCAAATGTGATCAGTCTTCAACAGAAAGAGGAGACACAACCTTCGTCTTTGGAGGGGTGAGGCAGTTCCAGTCCATCAAACTGAGTGATCTGATCCAACAATCATCCTATACCCTTTTCGTGACTACTGTATCTTTCTCTTTAACTCTCTTAAGGATGTTGCTTTGGCTTTTATTTGAACAATCTACTTCATTTCCAACTTTTCCCACTTCACTTTTTTTATTTTACATATATCTCACTTGATTTCACTTCCCTACTAAACTTTGTATCATATCCACATTGATGTGCAGTGAACAGTTTATGTTATTGACTGTTTTCCTACATTAAACCAGTTCAAAGGCGTCATTAAAATCACAACAGACAAAAATTCAGATAAATATAAAAGTTTATCCAATCAGTAATTCTATATAAGTTGGTATTTAAGTATTTGAAGGTCTGCCAACATGGTAATGTCTTAAAAAATGTAATTTTTTTGACTAAATCAAGCAAAAATTAATTAAATTCAGACAGTGATCTTCAGCAGTAGGGTGTGTAAAAGTTTTTACAATTGGAAAATAAAATTTGTTTTCAGTTAGCGTGCACTTTAACTGAACAAAACAATTTTAATAGGTTTATTTAGCTGAGTTAGGAAACTTTATGAATGTAACTGCTTCAAAACTTTAAATTGATTGCTTATTTCTGCTGGCACAAATCTGCCTGACAAGTGTGGTTGAGCCAATAAGAGCAAAAGTTAAGTCTAAATTGCAGTGTTTAAATGAAGATTGTTCTGTTTTAAAGTTTGTAGACCCTAACAACACCAATTGTTAGGTTCCTCTTCTACAACCTTACAGGAATAATATAAATCACTGTAACACTTCCTATAAAATAAGTTACTTGATTGCACTGTAGAGAACTTGACATTAGTCACATGTGTTAGCCCTGGGGGGAAAATACATACTTGTTTCAGTACACATTTCATAAATAAAACCACAGAACCATAGTGCATAAGCTGTTGCATTGTGTGCACAATACATAGCATGGTAAAAGTTACATTTCAGTTTCTCTCGAGGTTGTTGGTCGCTCTAAGATCAGTGCTTCTTGGGTGGTGTTACGAACGCTCTTGAGGAAGACCATAAGCTTGGACCCACCGGTCCCAGTGGTGTTGAGCGCAGAGCCCACGCCTCTGAGAGGGCAGCCCATGGATCGGGCACGGTTGCCGGGTACAATCACATACTTGGCCACAGCATTGAGGTGATAGTTCCGTAAGTCCACCAGCGCAGAGACACAGGAGTTGTAGGCCTGGCAGAGGTCAGAGCTGGAGGATGTAATGATGAAGTCGCGCAGCGACAGACCGACGGACAGAGTTTCTATCAGCTGGCGGTGGGCAGGAGGCATGTAATCTCTCATGCGTGTCAGGAAGTCTCCTAGATAGGATAAATCAATAAAGACAACAGAGAGGAGACAAAGAAAAAATGAAAATAATAGTCTCTCCAGAGTACTTCTGTGCTACAGCCATTGACTGCACAAAGAGCACAATTCATTCATGAAAACCAACTGAAGTGGTTACATGTGGAAGTAAACACAACTTTACCTGTCTCACCCTTATGTTGGATGCATAACAAGGCATCAAAGCACTGAACGGATGAACTCTGGGCTGCACTTCCACCTGATAGTAAAATTGGCTCATTGCTAACTCCTTCATACAACAGCCCCCTTGGAAGCATTGGGTTATCTCGCCACCTAAAACAGTTTCATCAAGTTAATATTTTAAAGGCAGTAGGGTATATTTTAGCAGATAAATCTGCACCAGTTTGGAAAAATCTAAATATCACGGATAATTTGAAAATATGGGACAATGGAACATACCCTGAGACGAAAATTCTCATCGTTCCGTGGAATGCGGTCGGCTCCACATGATCTGAGTAAGCAAAAAATATTGTTTGAGTTGCTTTCATAAAAGGCACAGCACGTTAACAGGTTTAATTTCTGTTGAGGCAGATATAACTTGACATTACGGTGCATGAGATGAAACGTTTCCTTCATCTTCTTCAAAGACTGCGTTACTTTGATTAGACCTTTCTGTACGCCGATAAGGTCGGAGATTTTCATGGCGTGCATCACCTCCAGGGCCCCCTGGTCAAAGTTTAAAATCAGTTAAGGTTTAAGAGGCAAAGACACAAACACTATCTGCATGGGAAGCAAACAAAAAAGGGAGAAAGGTTGATAGTTACAAACAAAGTTCATATATATATATATATAAAAGGAGGAAGAATGTACTGACTGTTATGCCTGAACTAGCCGCCATCTCCACCAACAACGACACCATAAAAAATCCCCTGCAACTCTCCTCTCCAGGGAAAGAAAATATCACATCCATGTTCCTATTTTGACACGTGGATCCAAAAGACCATATGAAACTATTCAACAAACAGCATCAGATGAGTGATGAGTCAAAGTGAAAAATGATTTCCATTGTACTTACCCAATTTCCATTTCCCTAAAACAAAAGTGAAAATGCACTGAGCGGTTGTTTTGGTCATAAAACATCAGCAACACTTTAAATATAAAGTTAAACATGGAAAATTAAAAACAGCACTCACCCTGTGGAGTCCCTCAACTTCCAGTTGGCTAAAACTGAATCTGAATAGGTCAAAATGGGCGGAAGACCAAGTCTGCGAGACACGTTCCAGAAAGGCCAGGCCAGTGCTTTGGGCAGGCTCTGTTAAATCACCATTAAAGTAAAGTTCAGTTTACAGAAAACTGCCAAAAATGATAGTGTGAGGATCCTAAATAGTTCTTTTTTAGGTTCACAAGCTATCAATATTGAAATATTTTATCGGTAAAAACTGATGTTTCCCAGAGGAGAGCTCTGACCTCAGTGACTTATCTGACTTCCCCCTCCTTTCTTACTAAATATGAGCTGTCTAATTTGAACTCTTAAATATTACATAAATAACTACATGGCTCAACTCTTTCAAAACAAATGTCTACTGACTATAAAATTGCTTTAACTTGTCTTGTTGAAGTTAAAATGCTCCTACCCCTTGCAGAACCATCGTAACATCAACTCTTTGACTACATTTACATGTTGCCTTTGATTTCACGCTGAGAGAAGCATTGCCTTTTCCATCGACTAAATTATCAAAATAAATAAAAAAGGAAAACAAGTGTTCAACTATAGCGATGAGGGTGAAATTTAGGTGAAAAAGTTTTCATACTGGGAATGAATTCAGGTTTTAGGGATGAATGTTTTACTGTTTGTCCCCACTGACCCCTGACTATGTGGCAGACATGTTTGTTTGTTTGTTATGTTAAAAAAAAATCTATTCTGGGCAAGTCCATGTTTATCAGCTATGACTGCTTAAGTCTCAGATATTTCTGAAAATATGAAATTATTAGTTTTGTTTTAACATGGCAACTTGACTTAATAATAAACATTCTGTAACTCAATACTCTACTTATACATTTATGGTCGGTATTCAAATGTAAAACCTCCAGGGCAGCAATGAATGAAACATATTCTCCATCAGTCTCTTTGTTGTTGTGGTGTTTTACCTGAGCAGGTGCATGCCGCCCCTCCTGCCACACGTACCCCATGCTGATGAACCCCAGGGCCAGGTGGGCCAGCCTGAGCTCCCGGTGACTGTTCAAATGATGGGGACTCAAAACTGGCATCTGTGTTGAGATCAGATTTTATTATAACTACAGTTTACAGAAACGGTGAGCAGCACAAAGTTGTTGTTAAAAAAAAAAAAAAAACTGTAGGCCAAGACATAAAACTTTAGACTGGACCGTTTTTCCGTTTTTGCCTCAGGAAGACTTTGTTTCCTCTTACCTTATGAACCAGGTCTCGGAGCTTCCGTGACTCTATTAAATGTGTCAGATTATTTGCCAAGTCGATCCACACTCGATAATAGTCTGGAAGGTGAGTCTAAAAGATAATAAGGATAAAATGGATTTGCTCATTGATTTTCTTGTGTATGTTTGTGTGTGCATGTGCATGAAAGAATATTTTCATGTCGATTATAATCAGTAATATGATCAGCTCGTGTTTGCCATGGTGCCTGACCTACATGTCAAACAACGATTGGTGCTATCAATCAAAAACAGAGGCAATCTAAGGAATGAGACATTAAAAATATATATAATAATACAAACATCAACCACACAAAAAGTGGGGGGATCCAACTAGGACAAACACAGAAAAGGCTTTTCATACAGCCAGAGTTTGCCTTTGACCCCAAATACACAGTTAAATGCCTGCTATTAACATGTTTGCACCATGAACGGTCTTTTTCTTTATTTATATACATTTGAACCATGTGAGACTGACTATAATTTATATCAAATAACTTAAGGGGACAACAAAATCCAAATGTCTCCCTTGTGTGTGTGTTATACTCATTTATTAGAACATTCAGCCGGTCCAGTCATGTGAAAGGTAAAAAAAAGCTCCAAGAGACAGACTTCCATCAGATCAATAACATTCTAACTTTACACAAGAACAATCCTACTTATCTGTTTCAGTCCACAGAGGCTACATGTGTTGCTGACCAAACACTTAAATTCAGGCAATAGACAAGAAAATGGTGCACAAGAGTAAAAAAATAAATAAATAAATGAATGCCTCTGCTCCTTTAAAATGGACAGTATTGGTACTCTTTGAGCATTTGAACACAATCTGCTGTATTAGAGAGGAAAAGGATGACAGTGAACTTTACCAGTGGCTCCTCAAGGATAAATCCCAGCTCTTCAGATATATCAAATGCATCAAAGTCCCTCTGCAGTGTTTCTCTGTAGTTCGTCTCCATATGCTCTGCTCTGTACTCCAGTCTGGCTTTGAAATGAAAATCTCTCTGTGAGTCTGCCTCAAAGATATCAATTGTTAAACTTGCTCTGTGCTTACTTCCACTGCCTTTGTCACTTCCCTTTTATTGCGTGTGCTCCCTACTGCAAAGAACCAATCAGGCTGCTTGTGCAGACAACTCAGGAGTTCACTGAACAAAACAGAAAGTGCCTATTTTCTGCAGTTTGCATACAACTTTTTTTATATAATATATATTTATAAATTTATATTTATATAATAATTTTTTTTTTATAAATGCATTAGGAGTACAAGAAGTTTAATGAGGCTTTTTGCTCCCTCTGCTGATATTTTTAAAACATTTTCTTCCTGAGATGTTTCACTAACAGACAAGATTTGACTCCAACAATGACTGGCAAAGTTTTAAATAAAGGAGTTACACATTGTCCAGTGGTCAGAGGTTATGTTGTGATAGACTCTACTGTCACACCCATTTTTACTTCCATATCTGTCAATTTGACCGGAGTTACAGTTTTGTGTTTGCTGAGTTTGCTGAACTATGGCAGTCATCTTAAATTGTGGTGACTCCAAAAGTGAAGCTGTTATAGATTTTCACCTAGTGATTATGTTTTGAGAGGTCGATTAGAATTTATCATGTGGGTTGTGAGATATTTTGTGAACAAACAGACACAGCTGACTTCACTAGGCAACGGCAAAGTTTGAAAAACAGATCTTAAGCGATCAGAGTATAAGCTCACTCTAAACTATCTAAAAAAGTTAAATCTGATCCTCTGGACATTCAAAAAAAAAAGAAAAAAAAAGAAACGTTTCATCTTTCATCCGAAAGACGCAATTTATTTATTTATTTATTTTTTTTTAATGTCCAGAGGGGCAGCACAGTGGCGCAACTGGTAGAGCTGCTGCCTCTCAGCGAGCAGGTCTCTGGATCAAATCCCGGTCCGGGGACCCCTCTGGGTGGAGTTTGCATGTTCACTCTGTGCATACGTGGGTTTCCTCCAGGTACTCTGGTTTTCCTCCACAGACCAAAATCATCCATGTTAGGCTGATTGGTAACTCTAAATTTTTGGGGGAGTGGTGGCGCAGAGGTTAGAGAAGGTGGGCCTGTGATCGGAAGATCGCCAGTTCACGCCCGGTACCGACAACATCAAAAATGTGGGTGGGGTAGGTGAAACACCCACACTTGCCCCCACCCTCATTCACCCCACTCTGGGCCCATGAGCAAGGCCCTTAACCCCCCATCTGCTCCCTAAACAGGTCTCTCTTGAAAATGAGTTCTTGTGGTTCAATGAGACTACCTGTATAAATAAAGGCTAAATGAAAAAAAAAAGTTTCTAGGTGTGGGTGAGAGAGTGAATGGTTGTTTGTCTCATTTGTCTCTATGTGTCCCTGTGATGGACTTGCGATTTGTCCAGGGTGTACCCCGCCCCTCGCACAGTGATTGCCGGACATGGGCACCGGCGACCCCCGTGACCTAAAATGGAAGAAGCGGGTAAAAGATGATGGATGGATGGAACGTCCAGAGGACCAGATTTAACTTTTTTAGATTTTTCTACCTGGATTATTGAGCATGCATCAGGATATTTTGAATCACTCTAAACTACTGACTCAAGTTTTAGCATAAGACATTTTTTTTGATACTTTTACAGCTGCAGTTCACTTTATACTAATTTTGTACCTCGTGTTTAACTCTCTGTTTGTTTTGAACTGTGGTTGATGTGATGAGAACCACAAATTCAAATAAATGCAAATGTTGAGTGTCAGCAGAAGAATGTAAAAAAAAAAAAAAGTACAAAACGAGATTTGTGGAGATAAGGCGGCATAAATCAAATCATATATTGTGTGTGGGTTAAATGTATGTTTACTTTGTATATTTTTAAATGGTATTGTCAAACTGTTCTTCTTCTTCTTTCGGCTGCTCCCGTCTTCAGGGATTGCCACGGCGAACTAACTCGCATGAAGACTTGGCAATTGTTTTGACGCCGGATGTCCTTCCTGATGCAACCACAGACCACCGAGCTACCACAGCCCTCTGTGTGGAGCAGAGAGCTGCCATCTAGAGCGTTCAGGGGAGCAGATGGTGGGGGTTAAGGGCCTTTTGATCACAGGCTCACCTTCTGTGCCACCACTCCTCTTATGGTCAAACTGGTATAACATCCCTTTTTAAGAACATCAGATTCACCTCATTAAAAGAAAACAAATTCCTCAAAGTTTTTTAGTATTTAATTTTTTTTCTATAAAAATCTTTAAGTTCTTGTTTAAACATTTGCTTCTTATGCTGTTAATGTATTTTTTAATGCATGTACTGTGTGCTTATATCTGGCCGTCTTCATGTATCCCCTTATAAGACTGTTTTTAAAGCTCCCTATAGACAATTCTCTTTTTCTCCCTAATAGATAAATTGTTTTTTTATACATGTAGCTCTTTTACAAAAGTCACTTTATCGTCTCTCAGCGGGTCATGCCGAGTGATTTCTCTACGATTTGATCAGATCTGAAGATAACTGGAATCTTTGTTCAATTGGCTGCACCACTGCTATGTTAGCAGAACAAAGGTTGGGCTAAATCTCCTCAGTTCCTGCCTCCCGTGCTTTACCACAGCGGCCTGCAATCTCTCAAACCATTTAAACCTTCAAAACAGCAGGAAAACCCAGCAGGAGGGAGAAAAGAGAAGGAGGGATGAAAGCTGTGATGCCCAAATTAATTTCAAGACCACTTACCAAGTCATCAGACACATGGAGAGCAAAGGGACAGATTCACTCAGGCAAGGAGAGAAGAGGATAAATTGGTAAAAGGGACTAGAAATTCAGATCTGTGCACACTATCTTTAAGGGAGGAAGGTTGCTACCAGGAGCTGCAAAGATTTGTCTATTTGTTCAAGGTTTGAGTCACAAACTCCCTTTGCTGCCATCCTTCATTTATGTTTTCTTGCTCGCTGTCTGACACTATCCAATTGTATCATTTTCTCTCCCACTTCCAAATTGTCTGGAGGCAGAAGAATGGTATGCAACTGGCACATTCCCCATATAGAAGGATTATTTGTTGATCAACACGGCGAATGCGCATGCAGCCGGACTGCAGAAAGAGCCGGCACCTTTAAACTACCTGGCTTGTTGCCGTAGTTATCTGCGTGTATTTTGCAGTTGCAACATTAGCTAGCGATTAGCGATTATACAACAGTTTATCACCAAGTGATAAAATAAGTTATGCTGCTAAATTAACATCACTTAATGGGATATGTCTTCATGACCCAAATGGCTTACATGCAGGTGAGTGGATAAATGACAAGGAAAAAAATGCCCAAAACTTCAGTGGCCCGACATCTATTGTTAACTGATAGAGATACTAAGTCTGTATTCCTGGGAGAGTCTGAAATCCTACAAAACACTGGATGCCTACATTTATGTAACGGACAATCATGTTCAGGACATTTTAATACATGATTATAGCACTGAAAACGTTGTGGCTCTGATGACTGAGGTGCTACCAAGTCAAAGATGAGGGAAAAAGATGGAGATGCTTTACCATCATTTTGAGGGGAATTCTGTGTTTCACTGTTTTTACGTTTGTGTCAAAATCCCACACTGTGCTGTTGAATTTTTGTAGACTTGGTTTAAAACTAGAGGATAAAGAACAATTTATGTTTAGTTCAGTTCGGGCTGAGATGGGGTAGAGGCAGGGCAGCCAACTTGGGACCAGAAAGTTGCAGTTTGACTCCCAGCCATTCCCACATGTCGTGGTGCCTCTAAGCAAGACGCTCAATCCCTAATTGCTCCCCGAGTGCCTACAAAGCTGCCCACTGCTCCACCTGGGTGTATCTCAGGTGTGATGGGTTAAATGCAGAGAACTAATTCACCATGGCAGCATACAATGACAACCTCAGACCTCCCTTCCCTTAATCAAAAATGATGTCAGCCCTCTAAACAAGAGCTAACCCTGGTTTCAAAAGAACTAATTGTTTTATTATGCACAATTCACTGCATGATTTAAGTTTTAATTGCCAAAACTGACAAGATGTTCCTTAGACTTGGCCTTTCGTATGGGGAGTATTGCAAATATGCATTGTTTCTTTCATTTTTTTTTTTTGCAAAATAATTCTGGCTTTCGGTAAATGAGGTAATTACATTAGGAGTTGGTCAAAATGTGTATGAAATTGGGTGTGAAACAATGCACAAAGTGTCAAACACAAGTCTAATGAAGCCTGACAATCCTGTCCTCAAAGGATTTTTTCTATTTACCCTGCAGCAAGCGTTGTTCTAATAACAGTCAGTTTCACAGCAGATCAAACCCACTTGCTGGTTCCCTTAGCTTTAACTGAGTAATGTTCTAGTCAAGATGGATAGCACCCTAAGAAATTGTTGTTTTTGCATTCCACTCATGAACAAATGGTCTTTTTTTTTTTTAAGTACAGATGTTTTCCAGCAGCAGAGCTCTAAATAAAAAAGGTCAAATCCACAACCCTTTAAAATAATAAATGCCCAATTCACCTTGCATTTAAGAAAGTTTTCCTGTAATACTACATCAAATTTTGTTTTTCTGTTAAGAAGTCATTTCAAATGATTAAGTTCAGTTATTTTTATAGTGCCAAAGCCCATGGTGATTAATCTGATGGCACTTTATATGATGCACTTGAGATGAATGTTTGAGCAGTGCTTGATGACAGTTGGGGGGTGGGGGAAACCACCAGCAGGACCAGAATCAGGTCAGGTAGTCATCTGCCTCATCCCAGTTGGGATGAGAGCACACGGTTGAGCAGTACAAAACAGTAAATAATTAACGGTAACAACAGATGTGAATGCACTACTCTGCAGCCAGAGATACCTGCAGTCAGACAGGGTCAGAGAGGAACTGGCTGAAAAGACAAGAAAGTTAATGGCATGCACTGAGGCCATCAGAGGATGAAAAGAGAAATAGATGAAAGTTAAAGAATGCATCATCGGAGGTTTTTCAGTACAGCAGAGTCTACAGCAGAAAAACTACAGCTTGATTT